AGAACATTCCGATTGCTGTGTACGGGAAAAATATAACAAGAGAGAATAGTTGTTGCTTCTCCCATGTGAACAAATAAGAAACTGAATGAACAATGAAATGCTGAATGTTTATCTACGGAGACACGCTAGTGTCTCGGCGCTAAGCCAAGTCTCTGACACTTGAAATTAATCAGGGAATCTGTGAGAAGAGTATAATAAACGATTTAATTTCGACGCCAGTTTTCTCGATTTTCTACGATCGAATCGGTGCGACGTCGCGCGGAGGGGATTATCGCGCTTCTCTCGTTTTGTATTTTTTTTTTTTTTTTTCAGTAGCACAGCGTACGCATACCTTTCACTACCTTCGCAGCCTTCTATGACGGTACATTATTAACATAATGTTTTTCATACTATTGCTTTTCGCTACAACTTGCGTTGCTTTTCGCAAGTACAGATCTCCATGACGCAGCGTCGCCGCAACCTGACGTATAAGTACGCGTATACGCGTGCATTCGAGCCTAAGCAAAAGCACTAACTCAAGAACTGGTTTTACCTCGCGGAATACTCGAACCAGCGAACAAAGGAGGCGGCATTGATTGCCTGTGATTACTATACAAAAGTACACGCTGTTTTTCTCTCTTTCCGGTTTTTTTTTCTCTTTTCGTGAAAACAAATACCTACATAGATTTATCAGCTGCGTCATATATCTCCGCGACGTGACATCGGCCGCATATCTGAACGAAAAAATTCCCAACACTTGCATTTCCGCTCGTTTCTATGTATACAAAGATACATTCTAATCTAAATGAACACACTGTAATCTCAAGTATCGAAACGATGTTCCTAAAGTGGACACGATTATTTCAATCTCTCTGGCGCTAATGGATTCTACAGAAAATTGTACCGTTACTGCGACCTTGCTACTAATGGTGTCTTGTCGTTGAATAAGAGAATTACCATGTTCGCTATTTCTTGAAATAAAAAAAAGAATTGTGTGCGTAACAATAATAGTTTCTTATATCCTATAATTTCTGTGATCCGTTTAAAGTCCAAGGGAATCGCAAAGCAATTTGTATACAGGGTGTCTGGAAATTACCGCCAAATGTTTCGTGCGTGGATAGAACAGACTATACTGAGTCGAAAAGTCCTGTACCATTTTGCGGTGTCAGCAATAGTTAACGAGATATTAATTACTAAAAATTGCAAAATAATGGTCTTGAATAATTTTTTACTTAAATACTATCAACTTTATAGAAAAATTGCAAGAAACAAAAATCATTTATTATCTTCTCATAAAGTTTTGAGAATTTTTTCAGAATTTTTTATTTGGTCTTGAATAATTTTTTACTTAAATACTATCAACTTTACAGAAAAACTGCAAGAAACAAAAATCAGTTATTATCTTCTCATAAAGTTTTGAGAATTTTTTCAGAATTTTTTATTAACTTTTTAGTAGTTTATTGCATTTTTTTATTTTTACCAACATGAGAAAATACGGTATTAAAAAATTCTGAAAAAATTCTCAGAACTTTATGAGAAGAAAATTAATGATTTTTGTCTCTCGCAGTTTTTCTGTAAAGTTGATAGTATTTGAGTAAAAAATTATTCAAGACTAATATTTTGCAATTTTTAGTAATTAATATCTCGTTAACTATTGACACCGCAAAATGGTACAGGACATTCCGATTCAGTACAGTCTGCTCTATCTACGCACGAAACATTTGGCGGTAATTTCCAGACACCCTGTATAACGTGAGATGTATAGTCTTTGAATTATATTAAATATTAAAAAGAAAAAGAACCCAAATTTAATCGAAAGTAAAATCGGAATTCAAAATTTTAAGATGAATAGAAAACTTTGACAGAATAAAAAGTTCAAATATACCCAGATAACAAAGTGTCTAAAATCGGATCATAAGATGTTTTTTGCATCTAAAAGACTTAAAGACGTCTTACGTTACAATTTTAGACTTTTTGTTGTTTGGGTAATTTGTACATAATTACTATGATAATGAATTATTATAATACAATTTACTGTATGCCACGATACGATGTCATAAAAAGTGGCGATAATATTTATAGCTGTGTATGGACATCCCGCGTGATTGGGAGTAATCGCAGTGTCAATATTAGCCCGATCTGGTCAAGAATAGCCTCGGTAGGAATCTCGTCTGACCACCTTGCCCCCCATGATCGGTCAACGTCTAAATTAGGGTGAATGTGCCGTTGCAGATGTGTATTATCATTATTCGATTATCGACTGGTCGTACCGTAACATATAATCAATGTTAATCGCTATACTTCGTTTTGCGAGTCGCATAATAACATTTTAAATTAAACAACCCTAAGCGAAATGGTTCTAAATATGTGCAAAATTTTATGACAATGTGAAATTTTTACAATTAGTGTAGTTTCTTCGTCAATCTATATTCTTCTAACATTTTATTGATTAAAAAAATTTTTGATTATCGATATTCTCGAAAATTAAAACCAATCCAACATTAAATCTTAAATGACATCTAATCATTCACTTCACTCCTCCATGAAATATCTTTGAAATTTTTAAGTGTTAAAAGATTTTAAAATCTTAAAGGATTTGAACATATATGTTATTATGTTTTCTGAGATACATACATACAGTATTATCCAAATTTCCAATTTATATTATTTATAATATTCTTGTAGCTTAACATAAAAGTAGCGACATCTTCCAGTAAGTCAGCGAAACTTCAAACGTTCGATTTAACATATATACAATATATACATATACACATATATATGTATATTTTCCAAGATGTGCGTTTACATCATTTACACTTTGCACGTAAAATACATACCTATATTAAAAAATGAAATAATATTGGGAGATCGGGAGTTTCAAAAAGAACATAATAACAATGATTTATATTCATATTATTTGGTTTACAGAAGTTAACAGATATAGACTGAACTTAAAAGTCAGTTCGCTATAGACATTATTTTTACAAATATATAAATATACTCAGTTACAAAAATAAATGGAATTTTTTATTTGATTCTTGGAGTTTCGTGAATGTTACAAGTAACATTTTGTAAAATACATGTAACATTCCTATAAATTATTATATTAAGTATAATACCATATCATCGCAAAATTTTGTAATTTCTCATAAAGTATCGCGTTTCGTAAGCTTATATATATTGTGTAATATTATTAACTACGTTATACATATATATATATTAAAGCTAGTATTATTATTAGTATTATTATTAGTACACATCTCGGTATCACCAGCAACGATTCGAACTTTGACAAAATGTGGTAGTGAAAAAGACGACCAAGATAAAAATATTTCTCATTGTTGGTGAAACCGAAATTAGCTGAACACATTTTCATATCTCCACAAATATAGCATTTTTAACAGACATCGCATCACATTATTACAAGTAACACTCAATAAACAGATAAACAAAAACAAATTTATTTTGCACAAGAGGTAAAATTTTTATATTTATAATTTTCATATTTATAATTTTTTCTTCACATTATCAGAATTATAAAGGATTAAAATATCGTTAAAATTACGTAGAACATCATGATTTTGTTTTTATAAAACAGACAACATTTTAAAATTACATACATTTAAAGCATAACTATATTGGAAGACGTTTAATTATCAATTATGAATATATTTATATCGATAATTAATTATCAATATAAGAAAAATATGTAAGTAAATACAAAAATCATTAATTTTATTGTAACATCAAAATTAGGATTGCAACGTGCTAATCAGAACTTGTGGAGTATATAGCATTAAGGTATTAATCAATTGTTAATTACAAGGTCATCTGCATTAAAAATGTTATTGGCCCCATTCTGATTTTATTATTATAATTTGCACTTAAAAATTTCAACCACAAAGTGCTACGTGTAAATATTGAGGTAACTCTAAATAATTTGAACAATTCTCATGGACATAATTCAAATAGAAATATTATTTACTCGATTAATTTGTTTGTTTGCCAAAATTACTGTGTTACTTTGATTTTCGCAATTAGACATTATGATTCAATCTAAAGGAAGAGGAAGTTAGAACGCTGCTAATAATAGCAGGAGTATTTTCGATAAGTGGCTGAATACAGAGTATTTAAGTTTTGTCATTATAAAATATTTATATCAACTGTTCTGATAGAATGTATTTTCTCAGATATCATATATACCAATACGATATCGGGTATATGTATATATTGCCAGCCATTGACTCATATGTGTGAATAAAAATTAAGTATTTCAACTAATATTTTTAAAGTTTTTTTTTTAAGAGGTGAAGAGCAAAAGCATATCCTATATTTTATAATCATAATTATCTTGTTTTTAGTTATACGAAAAAAAAAATTCCATTATATTTCAAAATGTTGGTCATACAAGTCTATATTGTCACATGAACTTGTGTTGTTATATAGTAAAATTTTTCTCTATTTGTTTCAATTTGTAAATTGTGTTTTGCTGCAATTCGAGATCATTAATCTACCAAACGATAAGCAGCGAACAAAAACAAATGTATGACGACCTAGAAGCCGTGTGCTGTTGTGTTCACTATTAAATCCAATTATATCATAATATGCTCTATAATATTTTAAGAAATACGTCACATTATAAATAACAATTGTAAACCGTTTTAAACTTTCATTCGGTAATAGTAATTTATAGATTTTTTCATAGTAAAATTTATTACAAAAATAGTTTATTTATCATTGGGCTATTGCGTCTAATAATTTGTGCAATGCGAAAACTGACCTGCCATATATAGAATGAAAGCTATTTTTCATTATTCTATAAATTATAAATTGGACAGAATGCAAAAAATGGCAAAAGTTATTTTCTGTCGCATTATAAATAATTACGTTATTGTAATCGTTATAAAACAATATCGCATATTGATGATAATCGTTGGTAAAACCTTGCCTTCATTATCATTATCAATAAATTTGACCTAAAATTTTTTGTATGTATCAATATCAAAATCCGCGTTATTTCTAATTCTAAACACAAAAAAATTTTATTTTCGCGGAAATGTAAATTATTTCCTAAGAATATATAAAAAATGTATATCTTTTTGTGCAGTTTTGAATTTATCCTTATCTTTTTTTCCTGAACTTACCAAAAATACAACCCGATAAGTATGATAAATCCGTCAGAATAAATAGTTTTGTTATTACAGCATGCAACACTTCTTCTTATTCTTCTTGTAATTTTGTTTTAGTGGTGGCCGTTCCGACAGTTGAAATTTTCTGACGATTCTCACCAGCTCGTGGAAAGCTTGATCGACGTTCATCCGTAGCTTAGCGCTACACTCAATGTATGGAATTTTCAATTGACGCGCCATATTCTGTGCCTCCTCAATTGATACCTAAAATGAAGATTTAAATGGATTAGGAAAATGTGAGGAAATAAAAATATATAAAATTACAATAATTATTCTTTATAGAAAAAATATCCGAAGTAAAATTAAAAAAAAAAGCTGTTAATTTATTAACAAAACTTACACTCCTTTGATGGTCCAGATCTGCTTTATTTCCAACCATCAGCATAGGAAATTCATCTCGATCCTTTACCCGAAGTATTTGCCTGTGAAACTTTAATATCTCGTCGAAAGACGAGTGATCAGTGACGGCAAACACGAGGAGGAATCCCTCGCCGCTTCTCATGTATTGTTCGCGCATTGCACTAAATTCTTCTTGGCCAGCAGTGTCCAATACTACACATAAACATAGTTTCGATATGATATTTGATTCTTAATTCTGGATTAAATCAGGTTCAGATGAAGCAAATAAACGTGAATGAACTTGTGATTGATGATCAGAATTAACTGGATTTATTTGAGATTAAAAATCTATATTGAAAACAAAAATAAAAACAAGTTTTAAAAAATAAATAGATTTATTATTCATTTACTGTCGAGTTTAGCTGGCACATCATCGATAACGCACTGCTTTGTATAAGAATCTTCGATTGTTGGATCATAATCGGTCACGAAATAACTCTGAAAAAAATTTTAGACTACAGTGTACATAGAATGTGCAATACATATATTACAACTTCATATATTTCATTATGTGTCTAAGTGTCCTTGGAAAAATTTCATATCTCATATTTTTAAAAATTTGTTATATTTTACATTCATAAAAACTTCCAAAAAAGTACCTTAAACCGTAAACTTCTTCCGAGTTTGTAAGTTTTTTCTTCAAAAATTACAAAATACAAAATCTTGGAAATCTTCTAAAATATTTCAGAATTCACATATATAAAGAATTCTAGAAAGTCTAGACTTCTGAAATGTTCCAATATAAAAATTTTGAGATATTTTCTAAAAAGTTATAAAGTTATATAGAAATTTAAAAAATTTTGAAATTTATATAAACACTGAAAAAATTGTATAAAGAATTGTAAAAAAAGTTTTCACCAAAGAGGGATGTTCTAAATCAGGTCTGTCCAAAATGAGAAGAATACGAGTAATTATATTTTTCAGTAGAAATCACAAAAAAATTTAACGTCTCTCACATTTGCTAATCATCGACAAGAGTTGCATTCGATGGGGCCGCATGGGCTCGGAGATAATTGAAGAAGAACAACGACATTACCGACAATTAATAAAAATAGTATCTCGTGTTGACTACGTCGATCAACTCGACGACTGCCAACAACGCGTCATGCCCCCTTCCGCCCCCTTGCGGAATACGCACGTACGCATTCGAGGTTTCGTTGGAATCGACGCGCCACGGCGCTGCCGCGTATATGACCATATATGACGATTGCGTACGCGCTGTGACATAATAACGTCCAACTCATTCCAACTGTTGTTTTATCATTTCATCAAACGTAACGCGACACAGCGATATCTCGCTTACGAATTTCACTTCCTCCTCCCACCGTTATTTTGTCGTTTTTATCGTCTTGATTATCACCAACAAGAATTCGATATGTCCAAACAATAATCAAGGTTGAATCAAGGTCTGAAAGCACGGGAGATTGCATTGCGACGCTTTTGTTTCTCTCGTTCGCGCTTTTCAAATGAAAATTGAAATTTAAATAATCAAATCCCGTCGAACACGCGAGATCCGCGAGACGCGAAGAAACGCTTCTGCGCATTGAATCGAAATGTGAAATTGCACGCGATCGATCCTGACAGATCGACAAAGTAGATTATATCGTTCACCCATGTAGAATTGACGGTAGCGAAAAGAAATCGGTGCTGAAACTTACTTGGATGAATTGTATCGTGATCGCCGATTTTCCGACACCGCCCCCACCTACGACGACGAGCTTGTAGGGCTGCGCATAGCTCTGTCTGTCAGCGACTTTCGACATCTTTCTCCTCTCTCTCGCTCGCTCGCGCTTGCTTGCTCTCACTGGCGCCGCACGCGCGCGATTAAACGCTCATCCGGCTCATCCCGCGTGCGTGAAATAGACACGACACAGGAGAAACGACGATCAGTGCGCGGAAACGGAACGGACGTTTTGCGCGACGCCGTCCGCCAACAATCGGACAATCGCCAAGAGCGAAGCTAAGGCTCGAGCGCGCAGCCTCGTACCTCGTAGCCGAGGCTCACTAAGCTCACTTTTTATGGTCGGGATTCTCCCTCCGCGACGGTGTGTCAGTAACGTAGGTTTTACGCTGCTTTGCGGAGCAGCCGCGCGCGGCGCTGCGAGTCTCGCGTTTACTTTCTGCCAATTCTGGCTCTCCTTTCTAACCTGAAATTCATGCATTGTGAATTGTGACTTTTGTGACAACTCAGCACACAACTCATTGTCAGTGATCGAATTGTGCGGAGTCATTTATAATTGTTTACATAGTACATCTTTCAATTGACACGTAAGTGTGTTATTGTCATTCTGAAAATTACTGCGTTTATTAATTATCATTTGAAATTAAATTACATTTGAACATGATTTACTGCGACATGATCTCTCGTGATAAAATAAAATCTTATGGATTTAACATACAAGTACTAATTTATTAAATAGAAATTACTTTGAAAAATAATGATGTATATATTACAATAATAACAATTATATGTTACAATGTTAATTTCTTTGGTAGGGAATAATAAAGTTATTATTTAGCATCCATATTTTATATTGCAGACATTCAAAATGAATAGCTCAACAGACCCAAGGCGACCGGATAAAGAAGTTCGCTACAAGCCACCGGGTTCAAATAATCAGTTACATATGCAAGACGACATGACTCCAGAATACATGAATGTCATAGGAATGATATTTAGCATGTGCGGCTTAATGATGAGATTGAAATGGTGTTCCTGGGTGGCACTCTACTGTTCCTGCATCAGCTTTGCCAATACGAGAGTGAGTGAAGACGCCAAGCAAATCCTCAGCTGCTTCATGCTGTCGATATCGGCAGTAGTGATGTCTTATTTGCAAAATCCACAGCCCATGATACCACCATGGGCAAGCGCTATGCAGTAAATTTTTGTACAAATCTAAAGTTTTGCACAGCTTACCTTATCAACAAACCATTTTCATCTTATACATGAGTGCAAGAAAATTTCAACAGTTAAAATAGAATAATGTTTATATTAGAATGATTGATTATATTATATATATTGTATAAAGAATTTTCCTGTAACGTACGAATGAATAATAATGAATCCACTGTAATAATTTATTATTACTCGGTATGTAATATTGAGTCCGTGTTACATTGATAATTTTCGAAATCATTCTATGATCACTCAATATTTGGATAATCTATTGCATATACACTATATACAGACGTAGCATTTTTTTCGTCGTTTATTTCTTATAAATAATTTTATATTATGTATTATATTAAAATTAATTGTATATTCTACGAATTTTCCCTAAGGGTACTATATAAATAAATGTTACATTTTCTAAATATATATATGTTATATTGACTAGAATTTAAATGCCACCTGGTGCTATCTTGTTTTTTTTTACATAAGTACAGCGACATCAAAACTTGAATTTTTTAGAAAGGTCGCATACTTGATAGTCGCATCTTTGGACTATGTAATCGCGAAATATTCCTTCATTCGCATTACGTAACGTCATCAAACTCGAGCAACTTGATTAAAGTATATAATAAAAAAATGTATCGATGGTTATTACTGCATCGTATCAATTTGTACATTAAAGCATGTTTTAAGAATAGTAAAAATTATACGGAACGTATGCGAGATTTGATTTTTATTTGATACAGATTTATATTTAAAAATATATAAAAATCAATCTCTTTGTAATTTTAATAAACGATATTGATACAAAATAGGCCATTACTGCAATATGCTGCAGTACATATTTTAATCTTAAGAGATTTATAGCTGCAGAAATGCATTTCTTTCCGATTCTAAACGAGCGGGGAATAGATTTTTTTTTTTCTGATATGGAATTTGAAAATTCCCCCAAAAAGATAGATAATTTCATATTGCACAATTATGTCTAGCTTCATTGATCAATTATTAAATAATTGCTCGATTATTTTTCAACATTGTTCTTAGGAATATGCACACGTATCCTCTTATCATTGATATTTCTAAGTAAATCTGTTAAAAGAAGTTGTTCTTTGTAATTGTGACTATTACAATAAGATTACAAAATTGTATCTTTCGTAATATCTCTAGTTGAAATATTTGTATCAAGACAGGACAATAATTGAAGAAAGTACGTCTGAATCTGTAAATCGAAAATGGACAATCGAAACGTACAAAAAACGTAAAAGTGTTTTAAAGATGTTCTAATTCTAGATCTTCACACGTCTGTTAGAATACCGTTTGGTTTGATTACCTAAGAAATTTGTAAATTGAAGGAAGAAGAGGAAGTTGAAGAAAAATTTGGCACATGTATTTAAACATCTACTTCTGACTACTATTATCGTGTCTCGTGGTCCTCGATTGGTTTTATTTTAATTCGCTGAGTTTTAAAGTCATTTTACGCGTAATAAATATTCCTTTTAATTAAAGTTAAAGAGAATTAAACCATACATGAGCCGCAAAAAGCGAAATTATTACTTTATTTCTTTTATCTCGATTGGCTTTTTTACTGAATTAAGAATGCCTTCGCAATCGCGTTGATTATGTCTCTTCATATAGAATCTATGACTAGACGCTGCTCTCTCCTCGTCCCACCAACGTAATGGGATACACGTATTTTTTCCGCTTAGCGTTGAAAAATGGCGAATTGTGCTGGCCGGGAGTCGGTGTGGGCGATAGGCCTCGGAGAAGCGGTAACGAGGCGTCACCTCCCACGCCGGTAGCATCGATTCCTTTCTTCCATTCAGCACCTAGATCCGTGGCCGGTGCCATAAGTCCTTTGCACTCTGGTGAACTACGCACGCTGAGGAAGACATCATTGCTACTATCACGTTGCCCAGAGGAACCCTGAAAATACAAAGATACGAACTCGTTATATGATTGTAGGAATTATTTTTTACCGCAAGGCTTTGGTTATACGTACCTTCGCTTCGTAGAAATCCAAGCTAGAACCGGTCTCTTCCTCGTTAAACTCCACTTGAACGCGATGCGAAGTACGGGAGACTCTCGAAGAGTGTGAGGATGTGTGAGTTGACGAATTCTCCGACAAATCGTCCCTGCAACACGCTGCTGTGCATGTCCGTTGTTCTCTGAAACATGTATCATTTATACATGTGCATATACAAATTCTGATGAAAAAAAGTTCAAGACACTTGTGTAGGATAGATTTATTAACTTCATTAAAATATTTAGTAGACCAATGTATGCATAGTCAGACCTTATATTTAAGGCTTCCTCAAATTTATCTTCAGATGCTCTACGAATTATTTTATTGGCAACTGAGTATCCAAAAATAAATTTAAGGAAGTTTTAAATATAAGACCTGATTATGAATACATATACAAGGCAATAGTTACAGAAGAATCAACCCTATCAGAATTAAGAGCGACTTTTGATATCGCGATTTAGGCTCAGTTTCACAATGGTTAACTCTTAACTGAGGTTTAACTTAGTCCTCATCTCTTTCTAATGCTGGAAATAAGTTGAACTTTGGTTATCAGCGTTAACCAAGTGAGTTGTGAAATTGAGCCTTAGAAATGTAAGAGTCTTTGTAAAAGACACGTTAAATTTTGGCTTCTCTTTAGTAAAAGATATCCACCTCCTAAGGGTAACAGAGTCCCGCCGTCTCGGGACCGGCGGCGGAAGACCGGCGGCGGCCAGACTCCTGGCGCTCTCGTAACTCGCCTCGCTATTGCCGCTGCTACTACCATTGTTACTGCCTCCCGCGTGCTCCCCCGTCCTCAGGAAGTAGTTCTTCGCTGAGAGCATCGCGTAGTGCAGATTATTCTTCAGATCGTCCGCCGCCGTCGACAAGTTTCCCGGGATCTTGGGGGTGCGTCGCATCGGCCTAGGTGCCGGCACTACCGGCGACGGCGGACTGCTCGTCGATGCCTCCGACAGCGTCTCCGGTGTAGCCAAGGGTGCCGTACGCGAATCGTCCCAGCGACTCGGTCTTCTCGGGCCGGGAAAAGAAAGGAAAGGGTGAATTTCGTCGCAAGGGAAAAACCCGATAATTTTTCTATTCATCTATAAAACGAAGTTTTATAGATTCGTTTCAAGGTCCAGACGGCACAAGTGTCCTTCTCTCGGACCTTGTGTCATTTGGGAACACTTCCTGCGCGACTGTGATCTTTTGGGATTTATGATCGTATTGATGCGACGATAACTTTCAAGTGCACGATATATATGGTGAGGATTTGGATCTAAGCGAGAGAAGCGAGAGTGAACGAGAGCGTGAAATGAAATTACTAGATCTGAGTGAAAAGCGGGTGCGACAAGTGATTCATTTTTTCGGATTCCTGATATCTCTCTGCTCAATGATCCCTGTGATTAAACGCTTCCCCTACTATTCATTCAAATATTCTTTAGAATTCGCTATACTTTCTTATAAAAATCTACTTTGCCTTTGCGTTAGAGATATCTTGATTAACCTGAATACGTTCTAATAAAATCAATAATTTCGTGTTCAACAATCGTATTTTTTTTTAGACGTCCAACAAAGATACGATAGCGTCGTCGTGCCGGTGGTCAGAGTTCAACGTCATCACTTCTATCGCTGCTATCAATCTCCTCTTCTTCGGGGTTCGTTCCCGTAATCCCGATATTAATCCTTCGCGATCCGGAGCGGTCTAAAATGTTTGAAGATCGAAAAAAGGAATTTTACAAAGATGATCGTTTACGCGTATCAAGACTATCCTGAAGGGTACAGTCAACAAATAACTACTAATACTTATAGAAATGGTCAATTCGTAAAATTCTCTCTTCCGATTAGTCAATCAAATGCTTGAAAGGAGAAATGGGAGCAATTACAATTCTATCAATTTCGATCCTTGATTATCGATGCTGCCGGATTGCGAAGGGTTCTAAGTGGTTCATCATCCTTACGGTTTGCCGTCTTCCGGCCTGGGCGTGTTGAGCAGCTCGCTGGCGAGGCTGACGTACTCCCACGGGATACCTCGAGAGTCCACGCTGAGCTCACGACCGGCCTGTGGTATGTCCGTCGGGCTCTGCAACGACGTGAAGCTCGTCTCCAGGCAGAGCCGGTGCGGCGGCGTGCCAGCTAGATTGCCCAAATGGTATCTGCTCGGGCTGGACGGCGACAACAGGGCTCGCATTTCCTGCTCTTGCAGCTCCAGCTCCTGGATTTCAATCGTCTGATGCTCGCGCACCGTCTCCGACGACACCTCCGTCAAGGACGCGTGTCCGGACACTAGCCGTTGCGGTTTCGCCGGTCCCAGAGTCGTCACAACCTGGCACGACGCGAGCCACGACGTAGGATACAGTCGTGCCTCTCCGTTATAGAGTGTCGCGAAACTACAGGTACAAATCTCGTCCACGAATTTCTCGAGCTCGAAATCGATTTTCCCCTTTAGCAAACATCTCGTTATGTTTCTCTCGTTTCAATTTTCTATCTTGAATCGCGCGCTTGATAATTAAATGTCACGTGAAAATTGAAACAAGTTATCTCGTAGAAAAAGAGCAAGAATTCGGGAGATCGCCATTTTATTTTTCTACATTGAATTTTTCTACATCTGAATGTTTTCGTAAAATTTTACTTAAATAAATTTCTTGAGTTTGAATAAAAGGAACAAGGATACGCCATTTGCGCTTATATCGATTTTCAAGAAATCCATTTTCTATCACTTAGTACTTCTATAAATTTATTGGTATAAGCGACACTTCTTTGTTTATTTCTAAACCTACGTTGCTATTCTTACGTTCAAATTTTGTACCTATAATTTGTCGACACCCTATACAAACTCCTTTATTTGTGTGATTTTTATAAATAATTATTTTCATTTATCCATTCTTTTTTTCTTTTACCATTAATTTATTGTTTAAATACTATCGTATCGACTATCTAAATAGAGTATATTATTGTAAATCAAGAAATCTTTATATACTTATTAAGATTTTCTTTAAAGCTTTTGAAAGCGATCCGAGGGGGTGACCACTAGCTGAAATATTGTCCCACAGATTACATGATTTCATCTGAGATTACAAATAATTTTTTTCACTACTATGAAGTAATTTGGTAAAATATACGATTTTATTTAATGTTATACAATGATTT